CCTGCTCTTTTTATGTAAGCAAGCTCACATATTTTAACTTTTATTGCAGACTTGTAGTGTTTTAAACAGTTGTGGTGTAGAAGTGGTAACCTGTTATGGCAAAGAATTGACTTCTTTTAAAAACAAGGGTATACAGTGTTCCTTAAAGTGCCAGGCTGGATCACGCGCTGTTAAGAGGGAGGTGGATAATTAAAGAGGAATGTAAAATGACATATATGACCGATAAGGAGCAAAGCTGAGCATAATAAGAACTGGAGAGGACCCCAGCAAAATGGGAACGAATCCAGATGCCGCACTGAAGTATTCTCTTGTATTTGCATGCATTACCTTTCACCTAATTCTGCTTGGCAGTCTGTCATTTCGCTCTGATTGGACTTGGCTCATGGGTTGTTATGTATGAGGCAAGGAGGTGATTTGCCCTGGGGCCGGTAAAACATTTTCATGCTGCAAAAAAGATCATGGTTCATCGTCACATTTTCCTGAAATACTATGATTAGTTGCAGTATTTCACACCAAGATGGCCTTGAAATTAAGCAAACTGATCACAAACTGAGCAGCTTTGTTGGACAAACATCAAATATACTAATTTGTTGAATTGAAATGATTTTCAATACACCTGCATATGTGTGTCTTCTGGTTTCTTTTAGGCTATTAATTCTGAAAGTGCCAAAAATCCTCTATACTTTAAATCAGTGGTCCCCAACCTTTTTATCACTGCGGACCGGTCAACGCTCGACAATTTTACCGCGGCCGGGGGTAATAGGAGACAATGACACCCGAAGTGTGTTGCTTATGTTCAGTCTACTCCGTTGTTTTGTTTTGGTTGCTGTCACTGCAGAAAAACCCGCTTCACACAGATAGGATGTCGGAAATGGCAACAGGGTTTTCAGTGCTGTGGTGGCGATCTCAGGGTATTCTGTCATGACTTTAATCCAGAACACCGACAGAGTTGTTGTCTCGAACATACTTTTAAGGCCGCCGTCATTTGCGATCTCCAGCAGTTGATCTTCTTCTTGCACAGACCTGCTGGATTCACCTGGTTTGTTGACAAATGGGTTGCGGATCCATTCCTTGGCAGTTCGTGGGTCCTTTGTGGTTGGGAAGTAGCGCTCGAACTCTTTTATAAGCAAAGACAGGTGATCGTGCACCAGCTGGGAGAATGAAGACTCAGGCTCAGTGTCACCCCAAATCCCCGCTAATGTTTGAAACATGTCCAAAATACCTCTGTTGACGCGCCGTACGCACAAATCCAGTTTGGCTTTAAATGCAGCTACTTTATCTGCCAACTTGAAGACAGTTGTCATTTTCCCCTGAAGTGACAGATTGAGTTCATTGAGCAGGCTGAATATGTCCACAAGTAAGCCAGTTTTGGCGCTCAAGTGACCGAGATGTAACCGAGAGAATGCGGTCATTTTTCAAAATAAAAGATCGTTCAGACTCAGATAATAAATAAAACGGAAATGATTAATGATTTCTTGTGCGGCCCGGTACCAATTGATCCACGGACCGGTACCGGTCCGCGGCCCGGGGGTTGGGGACCACTGCGTTAAATCACACTTCTTATGTCGTTTTGGTTGACATACCGCTATAAGGTAAAATTCATGGATTAAATTTTTGTGTGTGGTACGAAACCTCTCCGATACTTGCTTTATTTAAAACACAGATGTTGGAGATGTTTCCAGGGGACACTAAGTGATGAACGCTGACACAGGGACAGGCTTTTGTTCTCAAGTGACTCATGAAGTCTGAAGTTGACTATCGGCCAGCGGTGTTGAGTAATCGCATGTAAATGTTTTTAAACATTCTAAATGCATGGGTCAAATATTATTTTAGGTTTTAAGATGAGACACTGACTACACATGAAGTACACATGTACAGTGTATCAGCCCATGGTGAAACGACAAATACAAACTACACACACTTCAAGAAGAACTGTGAGCTCAGCAGTAACAGACATTCTTCTTTTTACCTGTTGCACCCAAATATATATATATATAAAAAAAAATGGCAACCAGTTACATCAGGTATGTGTTGCCTCGGGCATGTTTCGTGTAAATAAGAAGACTATAAAGTTTCAAGAATGGTGATTTTAAAAAGGACTGTAGTGTCAAAGTGCAGTGGACAGCTAAAGTGGAGGACAGGAGAATGAACACCTCCACAGCATTAACTTAATTCAAATAAAACAACAGGACTGATGAGTTTTGGTTCCCTCTGCAGTTGTTCAGTCTGAATTGTCAGAATCAGCTTTATTGGCCATGTGTGTTGGACACACCAATTTAACTCTGGTGCGGTGGCTCTCAATATGTATGTACATATCCTTATGTAAGGCAATAGCAAAGGACATGTAAACAATATAAGGCTGTGTCTCTTCATCCAGGATCTCACTCAAACTGTTTCTTCCCTCTTTTTATTTTCAGCACAAATTGAAGTATAAAATGGATATAAACCATGCAAGCTGCTTGCATCATATTTGTTTTGGGATGAAGACATGAAAGAATTGGCATGATCTCGTGGGATTTACAGGCTTATCTGCTGCCAGAACTTCCAAAATCAATCAATCAAAATGTATTTATACAGCACTGTAAAAGCAACGTCTGGTCGACCAAAGTACTTTACAAGGGCAATGTAAAAACCAGAATAAATAATGTCAAATAGAGAAATAAAACATAGGAACATAAAGACACAAACTACACAGAATCAACAGTTAAAAGAAGGAAGCATCAGACAATACTATGTATTAAAAGCCAAACTGGTTGAAAATGGCAGGGGAAGGTCAGCTGTGCCAAAAGAAGTGATACTGGAGAATTTGCCTAATGATAGCAATTTTTTTTTGTGAAATAATGAAGAAAACCCTCATATATTTGAACAGATGCCTCAGGATGAGCGGTAAGGTTACATGGGCTAATGACAGAATTAATAGTAGTGAACAAAACCTGAGGTTTGTGACGATTACTAACAATGTTAGAGAGTTCAGTTTTGCAGATTTTACCACCACCTGATAGTCTGACAAGCAGTCCCTGAAATGGCGAAGGGAAACAAAGTTTATCCTTCTTCCATTTACGTTCAGCTTTATGACATCTTTGGCTTTGTTCCCGAGTTTAGTCATTTAACCAAGGTTCCACCTTCTGCTTAGCCGGTCTACATCGGAGGGGAGCAATGGAATCCAGTATATCCTGACAGGTGGAGGTTAATAGACTTAATACTTCCTCAGGATCCATGTACGAGGACACGTCCCCCATCAGATACAGACCAGAAGCAAGTAGAAAACTCTCCTGCTGTTGAAGAGCAGTTAATGCAGATGGTCATTAGGGCCATGACACATTAAGTCAATAGTCAACGGTCAGGCAGTGGGTGAGCATCTGTCAGAATTCGTCGTCCTGGTGCGTCTCATACCGTTGGCATTAGGTGTGCTGACCCATTGTGCCTTGTGTGTGAGAGAGACCACTCTGATTGTCGTTCAGCTTAGTTAATCAATGCATGAGGCGAGAACAGTTCAGGGAAAGCCCCTTCGGCTTGTTGCTGTAGTATCTGTGATTTCACCCGTTTAGTTCAGTTTCTTTTTCCAAAACCAAAAGACCAGGGGGCAGTGAACGGCAATGCCATTTGCAACTTTTTAGCAGACATATTCTCGATTAGAAGCAGCTGTGTTGAATGACGACTGCTTTATTTCTGCAGTCTAGGTCTTCGCCTTTCCCTTTCTGAATGGTGAATACAGATACCACCACCTGCTGGTAGGGGGAGTTTTTTTTTTCTTTTTCTTTCTGAGCATATGTGCCAGTTGGCCATTGGGTGTAGTATGTGCAGTGGGTTCAAATGCCAGTTTTTTCAATCAGACTGGCCCAGTCAAAGGTGACACGAGGCAACAGTCGACCTTTCGTCGCTGCCAATTCTTTCACGTTGTCTTGGTGCGTCTCTGCCCTTAAAGGTATAGTCAGCGATTCTAGCAAGAGTTTTTTTTACATTTTGATCACCATGAACACAAATCCACAAGTCGTCTCAGTTAGGATCTCATAACCACATTATTCACGATTCATGAAGGTGCATTATCATGGCAACGATACTACTGACTGGGGGGGGAAGAGCTGGTGCCAAAGGAGATGTATCTCCTAGCAACTGGGACAACATGTGGCTGACCAGCTACAGACTCATCTGTTCTCTCACAGCATTCTCCAGCTGCTGTAGCTGAAGTCAGAACAGCCACACATATTTGCAAACTTGCAATTTAGCTGAATGTCCCAGGAAAAGTTGATTTAGCAAACAGGCTAATGTGACACGGGTATTTGCTAACGTAACCTTGCTAGAAGGTTGGTATACGCTGATAAAAAAAAAAAATGTAACTTGCAAGTTGCTCTTTAAGTTGCAGTGTGCTGAGCTTCCTTTTGATAGTCTGTCAAGATTCTCACAGCAAAATGACTTTCCTTTTGATGCTTTACTGTAAATTTATGCAGTTTTTGAATACCTTTTTTATTTTGCCCACACAAGTGAGTAAAAACCATTAAGATCTGCTCCAAGTGTGGCAGTTGGTTAAACTAGCTGATGCCACCATTTTACTTACAGCATTTTGTGTTTGTGTGTGTGTGTGTAGGTGACAATAGTGGACACAGGGGTGAGGGGGACCATTGCTGTGGGCCTGGTGCCTAAATTCTACAGGCTGGACCACCAGCCTGGCTGGCTGCCACACTCTGTAGCTTACCATGCAGACAACGGCAAGTAAGTCAAACCACAGTCATATATATGCTACAGTACAACATTGTTTCCTATGTGGATAATTGCTGCTGCGCCAACATGTGACTGTAACAGTAATTCTTTATATCATTCTTCTTGGTTCTACAGTATAACTGTAGTAGTGAGGAAAAGACAAGAGGCAGAGATGGAGGTAGCAGAGATGAGGATGTTGAGGTTCTCTTTAGGAGTGACCAGGATGGACAGGATTAGAAACGAGCACATCAGAGGGACAGCTCAGGTCGACTGTTTTGGGGACAAGGTCAGAGAGGCCAGAATGAGATGGTTTGGACATGTGCAGAGGAGGGATAGTGGTTATATTGGTAGAAGGATGTTGGAGATGGAGCTGCCAGGCAAGAGGTCAAGAGGAAGGCCAAAGAGGAGATATATGGATGTGCTAAAAGAGGACATGAAGTTAATTGGGGTGAGAGTAGAGGATGCTGAGGATAGAGTTAGGTGGAAACAGATGATTCGCTGTGGCGACCCCTTTCATAACCACATTACTCACTGTTTTTTGCCTTGTCTGATGTTGCTGAATCAGAGGCTGTAGTGCAATAAACGGCCTTGTTTATTTTATTCTGTCTGTGGTAGAGAGCAGTTACAGAAATCAAAATGTTTACTGTGGAAGATTACAAAATATGTTAAGTAAGGATAAGAGTACTGAGCCCTTTTTCTATCTAATATACTGTATGTTGTCTTTACCCACACACTGAGGAAATAACAGTTTTTGCTGTTGCTCATTTGAATATTTTCAAGTTGCAACATGCGGTTGTATGCTGTAACCTCCTAGGTGCAAGTGTAAATTATGCTTTAAAGGTCAATCAAATGTGGTTTTTGAATTATTGAGAAATTTGCATGTACTTCACTAGCAAAGCATTGTTGCTACAAAAAGACAATTGAATGAGGTTGTTGGGTTTTTTATTTATTTATTTATGTATTGATTGATTGATTTTTTTTTTTTTAACCACTGTAAAGGAGCTAGCATTTTGTTATGAAGATGTTGATGTTTTCTATCCTTTTTAGGTTATACAATGGCAACCCCGTAGGGCAACAGTTTGGCCCAAAATGTGCTCGTGGTGACCGCATCGGCTGTGGGATACAAAATACTGAAGCAGGTTTTACAACTGTCTTTTTCACCAAAAATGGCAAAGAGGTTGGTGCTTTATATGGTGTTATCACTGTTTCGGGGGGGCAGCTTTTTTTTGTTTTGTTTTATTTTTGTTAAACATCCATCTCTTGTTCAGGTCGGTTCAGTAGAGGTTCCTGTGACGGCAGAAGGGCTGTTCCCCGCAGTAGGGATGCATTCTATGGGGGAAGAGGTGAAGGTTGACCTTCATGCTGAATGGTTTCTGGGAGATGATGAAAATATGATGGTTGATAGCCATGAAGATGACTGGGGACGGCTTCACGACGTCAGAGTGAGCGGCACTGTAAGAAACAAAGTCTCTTTTTTTTATGGTTAAATAAATACCCCTGTTTTTATTTTTGTTTTTTTTCTGTTGATGTGTGTCATTTGATGTCAGTGAAAATTACATGAATATCAGAATATCAGGACAGAACTATAGTTTTGTTTAGATTAGTACAAAGTTTGCAAGATTGCTGTGGTATTTCTTAACTAAAGCTGCTCTGCCAAATATTAGTTTTTTCCCCATCTAGTTGGTCTAGTGAGACTCAAAACGAACTGACTCTATGAGCTGCACCCAACCACTCATGCCCCTACCATCACACCCTATTTCCTTGCTATGATGTAAACGGGGATGTATGTATGGGGATACCTGGTGGTGACAAACTATATACATTCAAAATAATATTAATTCTACACACAGGTAAAATCATGACCATGTTAAGTCACTAATGTTTCCAAAAATGGGCACGTTAGCTAAATTTTGCATCCTTTGGCTGCCTTTAACACTCTCTATCTCAGATAGTCAAACCCATGTTAACCTTGGTTTATGCTCTTTCTTTGTCCCCCTCTCTCCCTCTGTGCAAAAGACACCACCTCTTCACTCTGGCAGCCACTGTTTCAGACTTTCAGCTGCCAAGAGCTCCTCAACATCAGGCTCTATGAAATGACTATGTGCAGTTGCAGAGATGCTTTTTACAACCTTTGCTAGGTGGCAGACGGGGCAAATTTACACACCATATCTGCAAAACAGCATAGAGAAATTGAAATAACAAAAGGGCTACAAGTACAGTAGCAGAGAAGGGTAAGAACGCACATCTTGTCCGTTGTCTCTTTATCAGACAATGTGTAATGCACCTTTTATTATATTTGGTGTTGATCTCACCATTTAAGCATCTGGGTTGTTTTTGTTTTTTTATTTATTTATTTTCTCTTTTTGCTAGGTGTAGGACTAAAGTAACATAATCTGCAGAGGGCAGCTGGGTGGTGCGTTTGTTAGCAAGAATGTCCTGGGTTGAGACCTTGTGGCCGACCGGGCCTTTCTGTGTGGAGTTTGCATGTGTGGGTTTTCTACTCGTACTGCGGCTTCCTCCCATAGACGTGCAGGTTAGGTTGACTGGTGACTCTAAATTTCCTGTAGGTATGAGTGTGACTGGTTGTCTGTCTCCAAGTATCAGTCCTGTGATGGATAGACTGGCGACCTGTCCAGGGTGGACCCAGCCTCTTGTCCAGTGTCAGTTGGGATTGGCTCCAGCCACCTGCAACTCTTGCGCATTTTTTTAAAATTGATCATTTAGCCAATAAATTATAATAAATGTTTTCTTTATTCTGATGGGCCTGGAAAAGTACAAATCACTTTCATGTCACACCAACAAAGCAAAATAAATATTTTTTATATCACTTTTTCAGTTATTTAAATAGTTTTTGTTTTATTAATCACTTTAGCACTTTTCAGAAGTGTTTAACATAATAGTTTACCATACTTTTATATGAGTGGTTGAAATAAACGCCTACCATTGGTTTGTGTTGGGAGACGGTATGCTTTGTTTTTCTAGCATGTCTTTGAATGGGACAGATTATTCTCTGTATTTTGTTCTTCAGTGTGGCTATTGCCGGTTCCCTGTGTTTGTTTTGTGCTCTTGCCAGATCCTTCAGTTGGCTGCTCTTTAGCAAATCCCTCTGTTGACAACTGTACTTAATGCTCTCCATAATTCAGGGAAAGCTCTAGACACAATCACTTGAATTTGAATTATTTTGTCTCAGTCATCGTATGATCTTGCCGTGACTGGATTTGGGTCACCTTTGGAGTGTTTTTGCAGATTGCTTCTACTCAGGGACTTGGACATGAGGTTCAGGAACAAGATAAACAGCAGACTCAGTGAAGACGTTGAGTCTGTTGTCTTTGACTCTTTGCTCTTTGTTGTCTTTGCTACATCAGTGTCGGGGATTATGCAACATTTTGTCCAATCTAGTTGCAAAGCTTAAGAGCCAACCTGTTACCTATAGATAAAATAGACATAAATCCTCATATTTGTGTGATGCTTTTAGTTTGCAGATAGTAATTTTCAGTCATAATAGTCCTATGTTATTATCCTCCTATTAAAACCTTGTTAGAGCGATTTATATTATAGACAATGTTTGTTTTGTTGTATTTGATTTACTGTAGATAAGATGTTCTGTAACTGTACTTAACAAGTGTCCTTAGGACCAGTAATGTCCTCTGCCAGCTGTGACCTCGGATTGGTTAACAGGATCTAGCAAGCTTCCCGCACCTGAAGCTACAGAACCATGGAGAGCACATTAGTCTTTGCCCATGCTTGGTATTGTGATCATTAACGTCTTTGCTATTTCAGGATGCTACCATAATTGCGTATTTTTTGGTGGTACTTTTTTTTTTTTTAAGCTTAAAGAGGTTTTCAGTAAATGCTTGAAATGAGGAATACAGAGAATATTTTGAAGTGTCAACAATATGCTTTGGGCTGTGTCTTAAGTGTGGATTTCAAGAAGTAGATGGGGCCACACTAACCTAATAAAATATAATTAAATGTAATTCATACGGCACATCACTTTTAGTATTCTCATATTTTCTGTCACTCAAACATGCTGACACATGCAAAAAAAAAAAAAAGAAAGCTGTGTTTGTTCAGTTTTGGTCAGTGGGCGATAGAAAGTACTCCAAAAGCTGAAAGACACATCTGACACATCACCTTATATAGCTGATACACCAAATATGTGGCTACAAAAGGCCTGGCTACTTCCACATCCAGAAGAGACAAAGCAGCATTAGTGTTTCTAAATAAAGTCCAATACTTGGTCTCATATTTTGTTTTGTGTGTCCTACTTAGTCTCATGTTGAGTATAAATTGCAGCGAGACTGTATAATCGGCTCCCTTTTTTTTTTTTTTTTCCTTCAGCACAAAAGAGCAAGTGTCCATGAACATGAGCATTTGTTTGTGCCAGGCCTGTAATGCCACATGTCAGGGACTGAACAGAGTTTAAACTTCCAGAAAGCTGAGCTTTTCATTTACTCCCCCCAAAATGAAAAAACACAAATCAATATCATCATTATCAGCCAAATAGTGCCCTAAAAGAGATCGGTAAATGATAACTGAACTTAGAATACAGCCAACTGAACTGTGCTCTACCTCGACCAAAGACAAAGTGAGCTACTGAATGAGATGAATGGGTAATGTGTATATACTGACTGGCCAAACCAGTAACGCACACAATGCATGGACAACATATAATGCTGAATAATCTACTGATAAACATTAAACAGACAGTTTGCTAACGGCCTGATGTTTTCCTATACATAAAAGTAGCAACTTCAATGTAGCAAAAGTTTAATGTTAAGTACAAACAAACAAAATTCGTATCCCAAATTCCACCTTTTCTTTATTGGGCACTTGCAATAGTCCAGGCCTAGTGGAAGGTAGAAGGTGGGTAGAAATTGGAAGGCGTGCTGCCAGCCTCAGTCCACTTTTTTTAGTTTGGACGACCCACGTCCCCAGGCCCACAGACCGGTAACTCAAAAAGAAGAAACATATTTGTACAACTTAATTAACTTAAGGCTTATTAATCGATGTATGTCTAAACAGTAAACAGAGGTCAACAGATGCGCCACATAAAAGCACTGCAGCTGTTTGGAAGATGGTGTAGTATTTTGCTCCTCTATTAGTGGGCCACCATGTTCTGATCTGTACAGGCAACATGACAGCAGTGGCCTACATAAATCACCAGGGAGAGGTGTGTTCAGCTCAGCTCCTCAGCATAGCCACACATTTGCCCCATCAAAGCCGTGCACATTACTAGAGAACTGATCACATTAACCATATCCTGCTTCTCGTTTATGCCAGTAGCAGTAGCCTTAGAGGGCAAAGTCTGTATGAAATAGAATATTGGCTACATACTATCGCCCTATGAGTAGGGTCTTTGGCCCCAACGGCTCTTTTAACTGGCTGATGAAAGTTCTCTTCACTGTTGTGTGAGGGAAAAATCTAAATGTGATGGCGTTAAAGGCCTATACTCAAAGAATGTGGGGTTATGGTATGTAATGTAAATGGTTTTTTTTTTTTTTTTTTTTTTTTGCTATTACTACTGGATTGATGTGTTGTCTCATTTTGATGGTAGATTTGAGGCTGTACTTGTATGTATTTGACTGCGTTATAGGACGATATGCTTTTAATATTTTCTCAATTTTGTTTATGTATATGGAGAATTTGAAACATCAGCCTGATTAATACAGCAACACCCAAGACTCCAGCCTCTCATGACAGAAGAGTCCATTCATCTCCTCTCTGGTCCAGGGCCAAGAACATACTGGACTAATGTACTGTGTTGCGGTAGTTTTGATCTAGAGATACAGACTGTGAGATGGGGCTGCTTTTTGGACAGTAAGTGTGTTTGTATTAGAAAATGTTGCCCTCTTTTCTGAAAATTGTTGGAGTCTGTTTTACTCTTGCTGTGCTGCTCTTTACTTTAGATTTCTTTACTACTCCTGTTTATCAGCCCTTCTTCTCCCGAAGGTTGCGTTTGACTACCCCTTTCATTCAAGTTGATTTGTTCCAGTATTGATGCTGTGCTGGGGGTGCTGTTTAGTAATCAGTGGTGTTGCTGGACATAAAGCTTTACCGGGGACAGTTTGAGGGTTGAGGGTTCGAATCTCAGTGCCTGCAGTCCACATGTCGAAGTGTCCTTGGGCAAGACACTGCACCCCCCAAGTTGCCCGTGATGGCGGCGCGCATGCACGCAGCGGCCTGGAGCCCCTCTGCTCCAAACAAAATTTTGGTGTATGTGTCACAATGTTACAATGACAATAAATAAAGCTTCTTCTTAATCTGTCAACAAGTCATGAATTAAAAAAAAATCAGTTTTTTTTTTTGTAGCACATAAGGCCCCATAACATATCAATGCTGCAACTACTGTGCTTTAAAACTGTTGTGCAAGCATAAGCGTAAACTTTATTGCCAAGTGTTATCAAAAATACAATGAATTTGACTCCAGCCCAATGGCCCCCTGATGTGCACA